TTTGGTAATAATCAAGCTTGGTAATAAAGCGCGAGCTTGACTCGTTTGGTAATAATCAAGCTTGGTAATAAAGCGCGAGCTTGACTCGTTTGGTAATAATCAAGCTTGGTAATAAAGCGCGAGCTTGACTCGTTTGGTAATAATCAAGCTTGGTAATAAAGCGCGAGCTTGACTCGTTTGGTAATAATCAAGCTTGGTAATAAAGCGCGAGCTTGACTCGTTTGGTAATAATCAAGCTTGGTAATAAAGCGCGAGCTTGACTCGTTTGGTAATAATCAAGCTTGGTAATAAAGCGCGAGCTTGACTCGTTTGGTAATCGAACAAGCTTGATCGAGCTGAGCTTCGAGTTGTTCATGAAAAGCTCGGTTCGTTTGCATCCCTAACTACAATACCTAAAAAACGACAAAAATGCCAACTGTTGCTACTTGCCTAGAACTGCATGAATGCAGATCCCAAAAATTCAACAACAACCAACAACATTTTAAAATGAACACAAAGCGACCCAATTTTTTATAATCCAAGGAAACCTGCCATGCAATTTTGCACTTCATCTATAGAAGCAACTTCACAAGGGCAAAGTCATAAGCCATAAAAAGAACTTACATTATCAACTACCAATTTAAGTAAATAAATTCACTCAATAAATTGAGGAAAGAAGTTTATACAAGCTGCATAATCTAAAAGTTAAAAATTTTCTGGGAAACAAATCATATTCACTTGTTGCCTGGTACAAATCCAATGAACCTTGTCACAACAGTATTGCAAGTCCTATATCAAACAAGTGAGAATGCCTACTGTACAAAAAAAGAAAAAATAAATTAATTAATTAAAAAATTAAAAAAAAAAGAAGAATCATCCACCATTAGTGTTAGGTTTTTGTTATTAGCAATCGCATTTGACAAAACTCCTTTCAGTTGTAATTTTATTCGTTCTTTTATTTCAGTGAGGCTATGAATATTTAGATGCGAATCTAATCCGAATTGTGCCTATACAGAGGAGTTTGTGATCCTAATTGTATCATGTTTGTCCGCTTGAGCGGACGATTGTGCGCTCGAGTGAAGATGCAATTCTTTCAGAAGTTTCACTCGTCTGCAAAAGTGCTGGGAGTTGTATTTTTATGCTCAAGCGGCCTTTCCTGCGCTTGAGTGTAGATCCTTATTCTGAAAAACACATTTTAGTTAGTTCGCTCGAGTGGCCATTCCTGCGCTTGAGTGGAGATTGCGATTTTGTTTTCTATAAAGCTACGATTAAATCAGTTTCTACGGGATATTAGGGTTTTCATCTGGAGCTACTTTGCTTGTTTCCTTTGATATCTGTGAGAGTTTATACATGAATTGAGTGGATTATATCAAAGGGTTTGTTTATTTTGTTTTATTCACAGAAGATAGAGTTGTTCTTTGGTGGATTCCGTGGAATTTGGGCCTGAAGCTTTGGTGGATTTCGGAGTGGCTCATCGTCGTGGATTCAACATTGAGCAAGACAATTCCGATGTGAAGACGGTGGTGGAAGAGGCACATTGAGGTTGGTTCAATTTGGGCGTGGATTTGCTAGGTAATTGAAAGTACACTTGTGTAATTCCTTTTTTTCGTGGACTGTTTTGTGGTTTTTGCCCATGGTTTTTTAATCACAATTGGAGGCACTCCAATTATGATTTTTCCACGTTAAATCGTTGTGTTGATTTTTTTGATTGGAATTGTTATTTAAAATTGATACATAATCACAAATCAATATCTCAAGGATTTTAGATTTTTCAATTAGTAGCTAGCATATTGAATTATACCAAGTGTTTGAATTCTAAAATGGTAAATGCATTTAAACGGCCAAATACAAATAACTAAGAGTGCTAGTCTACAAGGCAATTTATTCAAATTCAAACTATAGTAGATTAAGAAAACAACACCTAATTCACAACACCACAAAACAGAACTTATAAAACTCATATTATATGTGTCGACATATAATGAAACAATCTAATTAACTCTGCAGCTAACAAAGTGAATTATACAAAATATTTGCCTTCTAAACCAGTCAATGCATTTAAGTGACCAAGCGTAGATAACTAAAATTGGAACGTAATTTATTCAAATTCAAATGTAGTATACTAAAAAAAATCAACACTCAATTCACAACAACACAAAACAAAAATTATAAAAGTAAGAAAAATGAGAGAGGAGGGGTTTTTTTTTGAGAAAGGCAACTCCATGAGGTAGAATCAAGGGTGATGCTGGACTTGAGACGAGCAAAAACAATGACGCTGCGAAGTGGCATCATCGAATCGATGCTTTCTAACACTGAAACAACCCTACAATTCCAATATGAGTATTCACCTAAAAACAAATACACATACATGCATACATATATAACCATAACGAAGATTGGTTAATACCTTAAACCATGGCAAGGGATGGTTCGAGTGGAAGAAGAAAATGAAGATGAGAAGGAGGGCATGGGTTTTGGAGATGATAGGGTTTCAAATCGAGTTGTGAGAGACCTCACACCACCCATTACAGCTGATCTGCACACCGAACCCATCTGCATACATGTGTGTGTTGAGAATATGGAGGCAAATAAAGCTGGTGGAGCTTTAGTTTTTTTTTTGCCATAATTGGTTGATTTTGTGGATACTTCCAAGAAAAGATGAAAAATAGGACATGTATGGATTACTATTTTCAAGAATGGTAGACAGATGAGCTCTATATTTCACCCTTGAAAAAGGACCAAAAGTTTCTATAGTTGGAAATGGATCTATCACTACATGTTAGAGGCAAGCCTAAGAAGAAATAAAGGAAGGAGAAAATCAAAGGACTCGTCAAGAAATTCACCATTGAGAAGTTCTTCATGGAGAAAGGCTGGATACCGGTGGTGTGTAAACATGGTGGGAAAGGTAACGGGAGTAAAGGTTTGGGGGCTGCTCTTCATACGATTTTTGTGGACAACTTACCAGAATCCATGAATCCAAAAGGTTTGTACGGTATTTTCAGCAAGTTTGGGGTTGTAAAGGATGTGTATATCCCAGATAAAAGAAGAAAGTTGACGCGTTCAAGATTTGGCTTCATTCGCTATGATTGTTCAGTGGCAGCAAACATGGCAGTCCAAAAAGCCCATGGACTTTGGTGTGACAATAGAGCATTAAGAGTAAAAGCAGCAGATTTTGTTAAAGGTACGGAAGTTAAGCAGAGCACACCAAGATTACTTACTGGAAGGATGGAGATGGGGAATACTAGTGGAGTTCAAGCTATGATACAAGGGGGAAAGTCATATGCTCAGGTTGTTAGCGGAAGCAGGGATAGAGCAAACACTAGTATAATCATAAATGCTTTTGAGGAAGGAAATGGATGGCTGTTTAATAGTGTGATTGTTCGACTTAAGCCTCTAAGCTATGTGGCAGAGTTTAAAGAGGAACTGAAGTCTAGAGGACTGGATAATTTTCAGGTTAGAGATGGAGGAGGTAGAGACATAGTCCTGACTTTCGAATCAGTGGAATGTATGAAAGATGAGCTGGCTATAATGGAGGGGTGGATCTATGAGTGGTGTGAGTGGATTACGGAATGGAAACAAGGTATGGTTATTGAACAAGAAAGGCTCATTTGGCTTACATGTTATGGTGTGCCACTGAATCTGTGGAGTGTCAAAACTTTCAGTAACATAGGGAAGGTTTGGGGGGAATTTATTGGCCTGGATGATGATACATCCAGAATGAAATCGTTAAGTTGTGGAAGAGTGAGAATAGCCACTAAGTGTATGGAATCTATTAATAGAACCATTAATTTGCGCTGCATGGGGGTGCTGTATCCAGTGAAAGTGTGCGAAGAACAACAGGTTATATCGGAGGTCACCCATAATCAATGCAAATGTTGCATTATACAGAATAAGGGAGAAGATTTTAGCTCCAATGGCGAAGTCAGGGAGCAGATGTCGAAAGTGGAGAACGAGAAGGATGAGGAAGATGCTGAGGTAGAGGGCTAGGTTGACGATGAGCTGGCCAATGGGGATGACGTGGTAGATGGAGATTGTAGGAAAATGTTTGCAGGTCAGAATGACAAGGATGATCTACGTAGTTGGGAAAACGTATCTGTGGTTCAAGACTCTGACATGAACATGGAAATATCAGAAGTTGGGGGCGCATGCGGGGCTGCATTAAATGAACCAGTGGTGAACCCTATGCATATTCAAATTGTAGAGACCCGTAGAGTAGAGGAAGAAATTGTTACTCCTGGCTTTGTGAGGAGTGTTACTGGGTCTGAGATTAATAGGCCTGGGCTTAATCTTGAGGTAATTCTTAATGAGGCCCCTGCTTTGGAATGTGGTAATTTGTTGGGCCAAAGGCTCTCCGAAATTAGTGAACCAGTGACAATACCCAAAATGAACTATCTTGATCAAACTAACAGGGAAAAGGAAGCCCAAATTAGGATTGGTGAAGGAAACCACTGTGTGGTCGTGAATAAAAGCATACCAGTAGCTCAGAAAGGGCAAGGAAATGTGAAGGTGAAAAATAAAGGAGCTGTAAGAGTACAAAGGAAACAAAAAGGAAGCATGAACCAGGGGGCGGGTGCTTCTCTAAATTTGAAAAAAGGAGCCATTTTCAGGTCAGCTGTTGCTGTAATTTCACTTTCAATGGCAAGTAAGTCTGGTAATGGACAATTACCGCTTAATGAGGCTGAAGCATCACTCTAAATAGGGAATGTTCTTGGGTTAAATTATGATGGAAATGAGGTAGAAGTGTTAAGCAAGTTGGTGGAATTGGAAGGAGAAGACAAGGAAAGAATGTTAAAGAATGGTGGAGTTGCAGATTGAATAGTACTCCTCTGGTGTATTGGTGGTTAAAAATCTGGTATTTATGAAGTTATTATCTTGGAATGTGCGAGGGCTGGGTAAACCTTCTAAAAGGAATAAAATAAAGAAATTACTCTGAAAGAAAGGTAGAGATGGCACTTTTACAGGAAACAAAGAGGTCACAAATAGATGCAGAGTTTGTGAGATCTTGCTAGTACGAAGATAGGATGGACTTCATGGCAGTGGACTCAGTTGGTGCAGCTGGTGGCCTTTTGTGCATATGGAATCCAGATGCCTTTCAAATGGTGGATTGTTGTTGCAACCACAATTTCATCATTTTGTCAGGTACTCTCTTTAACAATCTAGATTGTGTTGTTGTTAATATTTATGCCCCCAATGATAGTACTATTAGAAGGAATGTGTGGGATATTTTGACTAGATTAAAATCTTTGTATGATAAACCTTGGTGTTTAGGGGGTGATTTTAATGAAATTAGGAATATTTCTGAAAGGAAGGGATGTTGTAGGAGAGATAGGGGTATGTGTGATTTTAATGATTTCATTGACAATTTGGAAGTATGTGACATGCATATGATGGGGAGAAAATTCACATGGTGTAACTCTCAAGAAGATGAGAGGTGGAGTAGGATTGACAGGTTTCTGTTAAGTTCAGAATGGGTGCAAAATTTCAATTTCAAGCTTTGGGGCTTACCTAGGAGGTGGTCAGATCACTGTCCTATTCTTTTAATGGAAGATGATAGGGAGTGGGGTCCAAAGCCATTTAGATTTCTAAATGCTTGGTCCCTACATCCTCAATTTAAATCCTTGGTGGATAATACCTGGCCTGAAACCATTGTTCAAGGTTGGGCTAGTTTCAAGTGTTTAAGGAAGCTTAAAGCACTTAAATTAGTTCTCAAGCAATGGAACATTGAAGTCTTTGGAAATGTGGAATCTAAACTCAAGCTTCAGGAACAGGAACTGCATTTGCTTGACCTAACAGCTGAAGATTGACCATTAACTGTATTAGAACTTGCTAGAAGAAAGGAGGCAAAAGGGGAAGTATGGTAGTTGACCAAAATGGTGGAATGGGTTTGGTTTCAGAAATCTAGAGTTAATTGGGCATTAAAAGGTGATAAAAACACTAAGTTTTTCCATATTTTGGCTGCCTCAAGAAACAGTAGAAATGCATTGTGTTCATTAAATGTAAATGGGACCATCAAGGAGGATCCTGAAGAAATAAGGGCTGAAGTGTTGCAGCACTTTAGGAATCAGCTCACTGAAACATGGTTCAGAAGGCCAACTTTATCAGGTTCTTTCAAGTCTATTGGGGGTGATGCAATTAGGGATGCATTAGAAGCTGAATTCTCAGAAGCAGAAATTATATCAGCAATCAAATCATGTGATGGGAATAAGGCCCCTGGGCCTGATGGATTTAATCTGTTGTTTTTCCAAAAGTGTTGGCAGTTACTCAAAGGTGATGTATTACAATTCATGAAGGAATTCCATCAAAATTCTAAGCTGGCTCATGGAGTTAATAGTTCTTTTGTTGCCTTGGTTCCAAAAAATGATAACCCTTCTGGCCTTAATGACTATAGGCCTATTAGTCTCATAGGCTCTCTGTACAAAATCCTGGCAAAGGTATTATCTAATAGGATCAAGCAAGTGATGCCTATGATTATTAGCGAGTCTCAATCAGCATTTATTGGAGGCAGAAATATTTTGGATGGAGTTTTGATTGCCAATGAAGTTGTTGATAGGTGGAAGAAGAATAAGATAAAAGGTTTTGTCTTGAAACTTGACTGCGTATGACTCAATAAACTGGGGGTTTCTTTTCTCTATGCTGTATAACTTTGGGTTTGGCTCTAAATGGATTAGTTGGATGATAGAGTGTGTGTCTTCAGCACATATCTCTATTTTGGTAAATGGATCACCAACAGTTGAATTCAAGCCTTTGAGAGGGCTTAGACAGGGAGATCCACTATCACCATTCCTTTTTAACATTGTGGCTGAGGGTTTAAACATCCTGTTGGGCAGAGCATTACAAATGGGATTGATTAAAGGGGCGGCTGTTGGTTCTAATGGTACGAAGATAACCCATTTGCAATTTGCTGATGACACAATATTGTTCTGTGAAGCTGACTGGGAAGAGGTAGTCACCATAAAAAGGATCTGTAGATGTTTTGAAATTTTGTCCGGGCTCAAGATTAACTACCACAAGAGTGTAGTCAGTGGGGTTGGGATTAATGAAGAGTCTCTTGAAGACCTTGCTGCTAAACTGAATTGTTTGCATCAAAAATTGCCACTCAAATATTTGGGTTTACCTCTGGGAGCTAATCCAAGGAGAAGAAGGACTTGGCAACCAGTGCTTGACAAATGTAAACAAAGATTGGCTTCTTGGAAAAGGAGATTCTTTTCATTTGCAGGTAGGTTGACATTAATTAAGTCTGTGTTATCGTCTTTACCGGTTTATTACTTATCTTTGTTTAAGATGCCAGAAGGGGTTGCAAATGAGTTTGAGAAAATTCAGTCTAGATTTTTATGGGGTGGTGATGAACTTTAGGAGGAAAATTCACTTGGTTAAATAGGGGGAGATCACTCAAAGCAAAAGTCAAGGGGGTTTAGGAATTAGAAAGGTGAGATTATGGAATAATTATCTTTTATTGAAATGGTGGTGGAGATTTGGTGTTGAAGATAATGCACTTTGGAAACAAGTGATATGCTGCAAATACCCTGAGGTTGGTAGAGGTTGGTGGCCTTTAGCTGTCGAAAATTACAAGCTGTCCATGATCTGGAGAGATATTGCGGGTGTTGCTGGCTTGTGTTCTCAGTTGGTGAATTTTTTCAAGCAAAACATTGTGCTGGACATTGGTGATGGAAGGAGAACAGTGTTCTGGACTGACACTTGGATTGGGAATATTTGTTTAAAAGATGAATTTCCCAGACTTTTCTCTGTGTCTCTGGACAAATCTGAGTTTGTGGCGGGGGTGAGGAACAGGGGGATTGGTTTTCAAGAATGGAAGCTTAATTTTAGAAGAGCCTTGTTTTAGTGGGAAGTGGAGGAGTTGGGGAGGCTGAATTTGTTATTGCTTAATGCTCCAGTGCTTAGGTTTGGTAGGATGGACAACATCAGATGGAAGGCAAATAAATTTGGGTTCTACACTGTTGACTCTGCTTATAGCTGGAATGTTTTACCTTCTAAGGTTATTAGCACAGTAACTGGGTTCATTTGGAATAATGTGGCTCCACTAAGGGTTCAATTTTTTGGATGGTTATCATAGAAAGGGAGGATTAAGACATCCTGTTTTCTTTAAAGGCTTGGTGTTCTCAGTAGAGGGTCTAATGTGAATTGCATCTTCTGTAATAATGATTTGGAATCTGTTAACCATGTATTGCTGTTTTGCCCCTTTACTTGGAGAATTTGGTCAAAAATGTTGGATTGGTGGGGTGTTAAATGGGCAATACCTGGCTCTGTAGGTAGCCTTTTTCTCTGGTGGGTTGGTACAAAATTCAAAAAAAAGGAAATGGTGCTTTGGAACATTATTCCGTTGGCAGTACTTTGGTCTATTTGGAGGCAACGTAATGACAGTATTTTTAAAGGATCTCTGGTGGACTTTGAAGAGTTATGTGATGCTATCAAAATCAGGATTGTGTTATGGTTCAGATCTTCTTCCTCCTCTTTTAATTTCTCTGTAAATGATATAGTGTATAACTTGCAGCAAGTGAGGTTCTGTCTTTAGGATAGAGTTGGGTTGTTGTTCACAGCTGTTTCGGTGTGGTTTGTTGTGTTTGCTGGGTGATTTAGTTGATTTGCCACTGCTATTGAAGAGTAGGATTTGCCACTGTTGTGGTTAGCTGGGTGGTGAATAGGTATATCAGTTGGTCTGAATTTCTGCTGGGGTGTGGAATAAGTTTCTGCTGCTGGCATGAGGTCTACTGGCTGTAAGGTCTGAGAATGTGTCATTCTGTTTGCACTGGATTGAATGGTGGCGTCTCTACCCTATTCTGGCTGCTACTGTGATCTATGTTGCTTTGGTCTGATTGGTACCTTCTCCAACCTCTCCTGGTGCTTGGTCTGCAGTTGGTGCCAACCTTGGAGTTCTGTTCTGTTTTGGTGCTGGTCTACAGCTGCTATCAGTGCATGCTGCTGCTGTTTTGGATTTTGTGACAGAAGCAGTGGAGGTTGTTGCCAACCCTTGATGTTTTGATATGTTTACCTTTTGATCAAGTGGTGTTGATCCTTGTAAATCATGAACACTTGTTATCTACAGATCTTGGAGTTAGAATTTGCAGCTCTTAGTGCTATTGACTTGGTGCTGGTTTGGTATGGCAATTGTTACTTATGGCAATTGTTGAGTTAGAATCTGCAGTTGTTTGGTGCTGTTGAATTAGAATCTGCAGCTCTTGAGTTAGAATCTGCAGCTCTTGAGTTAGAATCTGAGGGCCTTCGTTCATCTGGTTGGTGCTGTTTTTGTCTTAGTCCATCACCTTCAGTTGTTGCTGGTGTATCATCTGTTTTTGGTGTTTTTCTCTCTTTTCCTATTGGTTTCGCACCAACTTTTCGGTGGTGCTAGCAAATGATTGGGTATCCTCCTTAGTGCCACCCTAGTTGGGATTGAGGGGTGTACTTTGATGCTTTTTGCACCTCCTTTCTTTATTGATGTTTTCCCATATGTAATGTATGCTTTCCCATTAATAAAGTTCTTTTTTTGCTAATCAAAAAAAAAAAAAAAGTTAATGCAATCCTCCATCGATTGCCAAAATAATTATCTCTATTAAAATATTTCAATAAGGTAATATATAGAGCATAATTCACAATTCTCAATAGTTTCGAAATAAAGCATGATTTTCATTAATCTCATCATTTTTCAATGCCTTCCAAACATTCATAATTTTCCAAGAATTTACATGAATTTCACATGCACAAGTTACATTCTTAATTTCTACCATTTATTGGATTTTCGAAAATTTAGGAATTTGTCATTTAAAGTGTAAATTTCTCAAACTCACATGTCATGGGTCAATCATAAGGAAAACAATTGAAAAGTTTGATAAATATTTGAGAATTTCCCTAATTTATGCATTAATAACAATATTAATAAAATCCTAATCTTCCAAATAATTCTAACTATTAAAATAGCACATAATATTGCAAAAATATATGTATTAAGTTAAGAAAATCCCTCCCTCAAAGGTTGAGAGGGAGAAAGAAGAATTTCAAAATTTCAGGTTCTCTAGATCGACGATCGCTATAGTCAAAACAACGCCCTCAACACTCTCTTCACTTTGTTTTAAAGAATTATGGTAAGATTCTCACTTCATTAGGTTTAGGTCAAGAATTTGTAGAGTTTGTTTAGGTTTTTAGAGAGAATGCAGAGGAAAATTGGTTTAGAGAGAGAGAGAGAGAGAGAGAGAGAGAGTGGCTTGAATGAAAGGAGGCAAAAAAATCGAAGTCTAGACGAGAGCATTCGCACGAGCGGTTAAATGCAATGAAAACTTGCGAAATCCTCCAATTTCTGCACGAGCGGAATCTAAAATCCACACAAGCGGTTTTCTATCGAAAGAACTCTCATATCCCTGACTACTTCCACAAGTGGTTTCACCTGAGAGCCAACCACCTCTAAGTTTTGGATCTACACTCTGATTTTTCGTTCTTATGCTTGAGATTTTGAAAATCTAACTCGACGAAACATTAAAGAAAATAAAAGACAATTCCGATGATGGTCACTAAGGCATCACTCAATGCATACGATTTTCAAGAACAAGAATAATAAATCATAATGAGCTGTTCAAATCGAGTTTAAGATCTGAGACATCACATTTCTGGTGTTTGCTTAATACTTAAAATATTTTCTATGACAAAAATCTTAATAAAGAATCAATTATAGAATAAACCTTAAAATTAAATGAATAAAAGAAAATGATATTCTTACATATTTTTTTTGTAAAATTGAACATAAATGATGTGGTAATGACACCTTTACAATTGTGAATTATAGAAATGGAAATTTTGC